CATTATTTAGGCCTATGGTTGTGACTGCCAATGTACACGACGCTGTATATAGTACTTGGCCTAGGCACATGTAGCAAAATGCATGGCCCAGGGTCCGGGATACAGGTAAGCCTAGCCTATGGCTGTAAACTTATTGAGATCTCCACCACTGGCATTGGGACCAGGCATTGCCAGGATCAGGAGGGAATATGCCTCTAGCCCTACATGGATTAGGTCTACGGCAGATTCGAGATAGGGCATAGGCCTATGATAGAAAACCGGAGTCCTCAGAAATATTTCCAGGGGGGAAGGGGGCAAAGATTTGACCCAATTCTAGGTGATTCTCACCCTCTTGCGGAACCACTGGAGTCGCCGCCTCCAGGGCCATAGAATTAAGAGGGGTCAAGCCTCCTCTCCAGTCGTAAAGCTAGCTAGGCATATGCCTATGACACATGGAAAATCCAGAGGGCGGCTGGGGAAGCACACATATGGGAAGACAGGGGCAGATCCAGGAATTTCAGCTGGTGCGCCTATGTGTTTTGGACGTGGTCTTTGTTTACACGTAACAGTGACCAATCAGAAGCCGGGTGACGGTCAGGGGGTAGCCGTAAGTCTTTAATTACTTCGACTTTTTCATGCAGATACTTTGCTTCCATTTACCTACCGTTGCCCATCTTGGTTTCTACTTCTTCAACCTTTGTCGTGATTTATTCCATTTTCTTTTCAAACTTTACAGTATGCTCTTTGTGGATGGTTGTGTTCCTGAATATTTATTGTTACCTTGAAATTTACATTTTCTTCTCATATTTTGAAACATTCTGCTACCAGGCTGTCTTTCATGGTTTCAAGAGCCTCAAATGCAACTGCTGCTTCCATTAACTTCATTTTCCGGGTATGATCTTAACTGTTGCTTATCAAACACACAAAAACACAATAGTGCTAACGGTAGTTGTGTCTGTACACGAAACGCTTTTTCTCCTGGCACTTATTACATCAAATTTTGCGTTCCCATGACACTGCGGGAAGCCTTGAATACATGCGGAAGGGCTAGTACAATATAGTGCTAGTATAATATACCCTTAAGAGCGTGTCGTTTGGAAGAAAAGGAAATTCACCTGTGGGTTGGTGATGGCCACACGCTCGCGAGGACCGGGCAGGACGAGGCGCGGGTCATGCCAGGACTGCCTCAGGAACACGTCGATGCTGAAGTCCTGCGGACACACGGGGGACTCTTGTGAGTTCACACTTAATTTCAGATGATGCTCTCGAAAAAAAATATCCTGGTTATTTGTTTCCTTTTCACATAATTGTGCTTACCATGTTGGCTGCGTTGAGGGATCCAAAGGAATTGATGAACATCTGCACGCTGACGGCAGTGGGGCCTGGCAGCAAGAGTCGTCAATTATGTCAAGGACGGAGCAGAAGCATTAGATATGACTAAACATAAGTGTGTACAAGTGTGTGTGTTTAGTTTTTACTTTATATTATAAAATACATCCATGTGTGTGACTATATACACATTTTATATGTATGCGGGTGAGTGTATGTGTGTGTGTGTGTGAGTGTGTGTCTGTGTGTGTTTGTGTGTATGTGTGTTGGTGGGGAGTGGGTGGGAGGGTGGATAGGAATATATAATACATACATACATATATATATATATATATATATATATATATATATATATATATATATATATATATATGTGTGTGTGTGTGTGTGTGTGTGTGTGTGTGTGTGTGTGTGTGTGTGTGTTTGTAGTATTATATATATATTATAATATGTATATAAAATATATATATTATATTATACATATATATANAAACTAGGATTGATAATATCTTTTACTAAAAATTATCATAATACCTGTTATACTAACAAATTATGTGATAATAGCTGATACTAACAAAATTTCTTATAATACCTGTTATACTAACAAATCATTATAAATTACCGTTATACTAAAACTATACTGCACGTGTATAGAATGTCTATGTCTGTGTACTGTATGTTTGTATAGATAGATAAACATATAGATGTGAGAGTTGTTTACAGATATATATACAGATATAGATATAGATGCAGATATAGATATAGGTATGTGGATAGGTAGATAGAGAGAGAGATAAACAGTTAGAGAGAGAAGGCCAGAGAGACTGATATTGGTAGATATATAAAAATTTATATAGAAACAGATATGATATTGATATCATATGATAAATCTAGATATGGCATTGATAACGATAAATTTCGGCTGATTGATGGAAACAGGTGTTCCTTCTCTCTCTCTCTCTCTCTCTTCTTCTCTCTTCCTCTCTCTCTCTCGTCTCTCTCTCTCTCTCTCTCTCTCTCTCTCTCTCTCTCCTCTCTCTCTCTCTCTCTCTCTCTCTCTCTCTCTCTCTCTCTCTCTCTCTCTCTCTCTCTCTCTCTCTCTCTCTCTCTCTCTCTCTCTCTCTCTCACGTTCGCTCGCTCTTCCTCGAAAAAGAAGTCTTTAAACACAGTAAGTGGAATGCAAATCAGTTT